TATATTTATAGGCAGACCAGTCATATATTATAATTATTTGTTCTAGCACCGAAATACATAACCGTACATGGGATTATCCGATATTTTTATGAAATTAGAATGTTAAAGAATGTTCACAATTAATCATGGATTTTGAAGTTTCTTTTTGAAGTTTCTTTGATTTGGATCAAGCCGAACGCCACTAACAGATTTCAGAGTAATTATGCGACAGCTGCCAATTCTCTCCTGGCGTTCTAATTTGTAGTTGTAGTCCACAATATGGAATTGCCGGTAATTTTTACTTTGAATACCTGATGCGACCAACCAAAATTTTTAAGGCTAATGTTAATACTATTAGCCAATCCGTGATTGAGATAGACGGATTCCATCTCCCGCCAATTTCTACGAGGAAAGTTTCACAATTACGCAGTCACCGTTTAATGAACAAAAATCTTTGTCTTTTTCAGTTTGATTTACACATATCCAGTTAAAAATGGGCATGCATCGAACTTTTCACTCGACGTTTGATTTTTCTTCCAGCACAAAACTCATAACCTGCGACCTGCGTCACTTTCGTCGAACAGTGAGAGTGCTATACCAAACAGGGCAAAGACCTCTGTTTGTCCATTCATTAATTCCTTATACTCAAGGCTAATGCATCTATCCGTCTATCAATATAAACTTGAGAGCTACGGTTTATCTCGAGAAATATCCACCAGATATCGATTAAGTCGCTGTCCTACGTCAACTAACACAGCGGTGCCGCCTTTGTGCCTACCATTTTACCCATCTTATCGTATCGGTTTGTTTCTTAATGCTTTAATAGTTTTGAAGTTTATAAGACATATCAGCCTCAACTTTGTTAGCGTTACTCAGTACATGGACTGCCGAAATAAAACGTTTATATTGAGCTACGACTTAGTGAGCTATAATGATGTTCACAGAGACCGTTTGAAGTCGGATCATGGACATCATGTGTACTTCTTCCTTTTGTTACCAACCCTGGCCGTTATAAAGACATAGCTCTTGCTCTATTCCTCGTGTTATTGCTGGCAGAGGTTTGGAGACGCACGTGCTACCTCAGTTATACTCAGTGCAGGAACCTTTGATCGGCCCTAATTTTAAGTTTTACAGCCCAATACTTTGGCAGTCCTCCCAATTATTACGCATAATAATGGCAATACAGTAAAACACTGATTCGCCGCAACTCGATTTACCACAAGTCTTCGGAATCGGTATCAAGGTCTCCCGGAAGACATATTTGACATTCCTATTATTATTTCTTCTAGAATTCTATATGTCTCGAACAGTTGTTCCTTCGATTTCAAAGTGTTTGACAACTGAAGTGGAGGGAAGCCGCTCTTCAGTATGGGGTTGATTTTTGATACAGGAGCAATATTAATTGATCCGATTTGAACGCGATATTCACATGCTCTAATATGATAATGCAGAGGCAACAAGAATTTAGTTTAATTTCTAATAGTTTAATACTATCGAATTGCTAAGTATATTTGTGAAATTATCAAACATATCACATCTATTGATATGGCCTTTTCGGCTTTTCTATCTTTGAAAATAATAATTTTGGACCCCATAAACCAAAACCTCGATTCACCGCAAACCCCGATTTACTGCGGGTTTTTCCTTTTCCCAACGTCCCCGGTAATTCGGCGTTTTACTATCTTACTATATATATTTTATTATTGTTGATTTATCATGCTAATACTTGACGACGGGATAATAATAAACATTTCCTCTCCTGACCACTACAAACTTCAATCATGACATATGCAATTCTATTAAAGACCCTGTCTGCGAATGATAGTAGTTGACTCTTGTCGCACGCCATTAAAATGTCAATTTGAAATACTTTCAATTTTCTGCACTTGCGCACTATTTCGATATCATTTCATTTCTTTATGGTTAACTTTCAGAGCTCAAAGATGTCTAGGTACTCAGTTGGAAAATCGTTACAATTAAGCAGATCAGTGACGTATATGAGCCTGGCTTCTAACTGAATAGATTAATACGTTAATACGTTAATTAGTTAATACGTTAATACGTTAATTAGTTAATACGTTAATACGTTAATACTTTAATACGTTAATACGTTAATGCGTTAATACGTTAATACGTTAATACGTTAATGCGTTAATAATTTAATAAGTTAATGAGTTGATAAATTATTAGTCATTTCCTCAATACACGCGTCTAATTTGGCACTGAATTGCTGTCGTTGCCATCACTTCATGACTATCTCTATTTGGAACTGGAAGTAGACTAATTTAACAGGTGTCCGGTACTGGCGACGTGTCTACCAACCATGCAGTAACCATGAAATACTGAAATACCCAATACTACCTCGATATAATTTTTAGAAATATTCCGTGTTTCCTACCCAGTACTTACATCTCGTATTTAGCGCAAACGAGGGGTTTTACCCCTGCCAGGGTGTCACACTCCACTTTAGCCAGCTTGTCCGTCTCGCCTACAAAACATTGCATCTGGAGGGTTAAACCCAAAAAGAGGCACAACAAAACACAGGATCGTAACATGATGTCGGACTGGGAGTGTGAGATGTTGTGTGAGTGTCCGTGTGTATCTTACTGAGCTTGTTTAACCCAGACAGTATGCTTGCACATTAGGTACTGCTCCAGGCATGGATATTGTGTTTAAGGAAAATCTATGGAGTATAGAATAAAGAATGATATATTTCTTTATTCGAAGCAAGAATTAGCTTGGAATTTCTACGATTTATTGTTATAGTTATACCAAGGCCAAGCTTATAGGTATGTTAATGGAATGACCATATTATGTTCATTATATGCAAGCCTCTTGATTTATAATCACCGGGTCTAGTAATTGTTTAAGAGAGTTCTCTGGCAGTTACGAAACTCGAGAGACTGTGGGATACTGAAGGGAAAAGAAGCAGTTCTAACGAGCGCTTCTCAAACACAATGATATATCTTGTGAAATTGGCTAGTATATATGAAACATTTGACATGGAGTTGTAGAATGTAGAGTGAGCTATGTGCCTCGCCGGGCTAAAGTAGTGGATGTCCTTGCTGTACGGCAAGTTAAACAAGGAACTGAAACTACTAGGTTCCGTACAGACTCAACTCTGCACCCATGTCAATATGTTCATTATATGCAAGCCTCTTGATTTATGAGCATGGGTTTTCAGATACCATATTTAATACAAATCCGACATAAGGGCGTTAGATTAATCTTGAATATAGACTGGCGTGAATTAGGCAAAACTTAAATTATGGATCAGTTTCCAATGTCACGCGCTCATTAATATTAATAAGCGCAGCATTCGGTAAATTCGTCTAAGTATGATTTCTTAGACATTGGCTAACCAGATCAATTACTGCCTGCTTACCTGTCTAGGTCAATCCAAAAGTAGTCTGGAACAATTGTTTCGTGACAGCGCTTCTCTCCATTTATCTCTATCACACAAGAGCTGCACACGTACATGACTCGATCTAAGTATTCACAATACTTTCGTTATGAAATGCATTACTGCGGTAGCAATTTCTTGTTGACCAGCAACTTCTTATTGACCAATTCTTAGGCTGACAATAACTGCATTACTGTATCAGCAATGTTTCATCATAAAATTAATCGGTTTGCAATATTCATATATAATCCATTGATATTGGTCCATTGCCTATAATTCAGGCATTTCGTTTAGAATTAAAACAAGTCCTTCATATTATGGAGCCAGGGTCTGGACTGGCTCACCCGGTTAAAGCACTTCCATCCCATTACAAAATAATACTGAAATACCTATCGGTCGTTATTTGACCGAACATTGCGTGAACGGACATAATTTTGAACGGACGAAGGCATTCAAAACCATCAAAAATCCGAAATTTTATCATCCTTCTCGGCGCCTTTTCCCAATTTTAGCAGATAATTTTTCGATCGGTTGATGAAAATCTAGCGTCCGCTAACCGGCGTAATCCTTGTTAATACAGTAAGCAAAAAAAGCGTTCGTTAAGCAGTAAAAATGTTGATATAATTTAGTCCGATGATAAAAATTGAAATTGACCGACATTTTTTCCCGATCCATGACTCCTGTGTCAAAGGCACAAAAGAGTCAAGGACAATGGTTAGCGAACGAGGTTTTTTTCGTATATGGTAGCTTGTGACCGTCGTACAAACGAACGTGCCCCTGCGCACAGATGTCGCCCACGTTCCTAATAACTGCGCAAAGTTATTTTGCGCGCTATTCTGAAAGCGAATTAAATTATTGTTGGCGCGCTGAACTGATCAAGTAAATCGTTAATTTCACCATGTACGTATCCCACTAGGCATTAATTGATAGCATATTATTTCGAGTTAGTATTATGCTATTTTGCACAGATCCGTGTCGGGTTGCATGTACAATAAACATATGGTTACCTTCCTTTCCAGTTTCCATCCCTCACTCTCCAAACCTATCTCCAAGATACTCGGACAACACGACATCAAAGTGACCCACTCATCAGCCACTACTCTCCGCAACCTTCTCACCAAGACGAAGACCACACCCCCACTCAACTCACTCCTAACACCATCTACGAGATATCCTGCTCACAATGTCCCTCCAAGTATACCGGACAGACCTACAGACCCCTGATCCAACGCATGAAAAAACACGAACGATGTTACAGACTCAACAATGCCTTCGACGAAACCACAGACAGGATCAAATCCACCCCCGCCCATCATGCCCTGACCTCAAATCCCTCACCACACGATCTCAACTTGTTACTTGACCTGACAGAACATGCGGCTATTCAGATAAGACAACCCTCCATGAACAG